CCAAGTCTCTGCACCGTAGAGCAGGACTGGCCGAACTGCTGCAGCATACACTCGACCCTTGACAGGCAGCCGGATGTCGCGACGGCGCCACAGATGGCAAATGCCAACCGAGCCTTCTGTATGCGAGCTGACACTTCATCCGTGATGTGTCCACCGGGTGAGATGTAGCTGCCCAGATAACAAAATTTATCCACCTGCTCGATTGCTTCTCCAGTTAGAGTGAGGCTGTGATGAGTAAATTTAACTGGTACACATTCGTGGTCACTTTGCATGCGTTGTCCGCTTGGTATAAACCAGGGAAGTTTGCCTCGCTAAATCTCGTTGCATGAGAATACGAAGTGGTGGAAGAGGTACATTTCGTTACGGAAGCTACATCAATGAGAAAATTACAGAACCCAAGAGTAAGGCAACACCGATGATGTGGTGACATACCCGCGATGGGAATCGGAACAGATTAACATCACTGCCCCTTGGGCATAGATTGATCAGAAGGCATTTGACGACAATTGATTCTCCTGTCAAAATTTGTGTTGGTCAATCCTTAAGTGTTCATAGTGGGTTTCGAATTATGAATCACCAGGTTTGACGATCTATATATCTCTGTATTGTTCAACATGTTTTATTCCAACTTGTTGCCCGCGGCAGCTTGGAATCACAATGGTATAGCAGAAGATCGGAGCTCAGCATGGTTCTGAGCTTGGTAAAGGCGAGGTGACATTCCTTTATCCATTTCCAAGCCACGTTCTTCCTAAGGAGGTCATTCAGTGGAGCACGGACATTGTGTAATGTCGGAAGAAATGCGCTATAGTAGCTGACTATGCCTAGAAAAAGCCGTAGTGTAGAGACATCTCGTGGTGGCTGCATAGCTGTAATAGACTGGATATTTTTGCGGTCCAGACGGCGTCCTCGGGCGTCAAAGATAAAATCAAGGTACTTGATCGTCTTCAAAAGCTTCAGTATGGTCGGGGGTAGGTGGCTCGGGTTTCGAATGGTCACCCCTAACTTGCACCTCACGAAATGCTCCTATATGATCAGGCATCTCAAATAGCCTCTGCTGAGGAAACCCCATTCACTGCCTTCCCATGGAGGTGTTTTTCCCACCAAAGTGAGAGGNCCACTGGCAGTTAACCTAGCGGAAACGGCTAAAATCTCTGATTCCAAACCAACCAAAAAGAGACGTAAGAACCACCTACAGCTTTCTGACACGGGTCACCGGCTCCATTGAACACCAAAGTGTATTGGGCACCTTGGACGTTTGACCTCGTCCGAAGGGCGTATGATCCGATGAACCGGACACCAGCCCCCAATGGATTGCGGACTCCGAGTTTCGTCCTGCTGTTTTGCAGGTCATGCTTTCTAGCCAAAGGCTTCGGATGGGGACCCCGAGGTTATCCCTCTCTTCGGCCAGGGCAACCGGGAAGTAACATGCCCACACAACTTATGAACACACATTAAACATTTCCGAATTTTTCGCTCTAACTATGCGCTCCTTGACTGAGATGTTGACGGTCGGTTCTACAGATTTCCACGTTACCACACCAACAGATCACACCCTTCCCCTTCCTCAATTATCGAACTTTCATATTCTCGGTTTACCGCCTATAATTTCGAGTCTCCAACAGTGTGTTGTTCAAGACAACGGCAGAAACCATAGTCTTGTTCTTATGCGAAAGAAACAAGCTTCCGATTACGTTATTCCGAAAAAAGTACTCGCGCCGTGGCGCAGATGCAGTTAAGGATTTTCAATGTTCGAACATTTATGCAAGTTGGGGCTCAGGCAAAAGTCGCTCGCACACTGGAAACGCTCTCCATGGACGGTTGCTGCTTTACTGAGACACGGTTACAGGATTCGAGCACCGTACTGCAACTCACTTCACCGTCTCCGGATTCTGCAAGCTCGTTCACCCTCCGTCTCTACGGAAATCCGATGGCAGAGGCCGCTGGTCAAGTCGGTGTAGGGATAGCACTAAGTGCACGTGCAGAAGCAGTTTTACTCGACTAGATTCCAATCAATAGTCGACTGTGCGCCATCCGTCTAAAAGGATCGCTGAGCGCATCTCGTAATGGGACAAAAAAGCTCTGTCTGTTCATTATCGTGGCTTCTGCGCCGACTGACTACAGTCCTGACACAAAAAAGACGAGTTCTACCATCAGCTCACCAACCTCCTCCACAATAGACGACACAATGAAACCGTGATACTAGCCGGCGACTTGAACGCACAAGTATGTTGGTTAGACGCTGACGAAACCTCACTTGGTGGCCAGCATAGTCTCGGTGTTAGGAAAAGTGACAACGGCGACCGTCCTCTGCAAATATGCACTGAACATGGTTTCTTCATTTCGAACACCAATTTTCGGCGACCATGGCGCCAACATGCTACCTGGCGATGGAGAAACTGCAAATCCATCTGGAGCACATATCACAGTACATATCATGCACTCGTGTGCGCGAACGTCTCTCTGCACTCTGGAGGAAAACAGCAACATCACCCGAGAAGACTCGATTTCATGAAACCGACCTACCTAAACGTAGTAACGNCCACCACAGCATGTGGCTTCACCAAACGTTCTCTCGAACTGCTTGACACTCCTCGAAGCATCCCCCCAGGCAATGAATACAACAGTTCATAGGACTCTCAGTGCTGAACTGAAACGGTTCCTAAAAGAGGATCGAGAGACCTGATGGGCACAACGCGCTTCCGAGATGGAACTAGCCTTTGATTCCGGTAATGCTCACAAAATGTTTTACTAATCCGAGCCACCGGTAACAAAAAAACCATGCGTCAGTGAAACCATACGCGAAATGGCGAATGTATCCACAATCTACAACGTCGGCTTGGGAGCTGGGTGGAGCACTTTTATCAACAATTCAGTTGGCCATCGATATCATCACTTCCATCTTCTGATGTCTGTAGTGCTCCATGGCCTGTGTACATTTCATCGCCTATGGAGAAAGAAGTCTTTATGAAGTGGAAATAGGGCAGGACACATGGTTAGGTCCGTGGTTATTGAAAGCAACTGACGAGGATTGTGAGATAAAAGCCAGCAGGTTACCGGCAGAACGACGCTGTCGCAGTTCATTCTGGTGGTCAATCAGTAGTTGGAGCGTATCTGGCGAGCGTGATGAACTGTCTGTTCACTCGGTCTCAAAGAATAATGACGTAAAGAGGCAATCTTTCTAGGAAGTATAATGTTTGAAAATGACGAAACTGCTCCAAAAGATGAGTAATACCGATTATCAAGAGATCGCTGTTAAACTGATGAAGCTTTTTATGTAGTGTTCAAGAAGCTGTAAACTCGCATGTCAAGCGAAGCTTAGACAACAGTAGGATATACTAGAGTATCTATGTATTTAGGACTGTTTGTGCCTTTCATATTCGGCTGAATCTACAGCAAATCCAACAAGATAGAGTACAATCACCTTTACGACAAAGGATTCATTCACTGAACTATTTTTGAACAGGATATTGGAATACTACGAAAGCAGATGCTATTTAGGGATCCATGATTGGAATATTCGGCTAGCGAAAATCCGACGCACAAAGAGAATAGGTGACGAACAGATTGTAACTCATTGGGGATCACTGTTTGATCAATTGGACCTTACATATTCGAGGAACGATCTAAGTTCATGATGATCAAGCTCGTAAGCATTTTCGTCTGTTTGCAATCGCAGATTTCCGGCATCCCGTAACCCGTCCACTTGGATATTGGCTAATAGCCATCTCGCTTTAGCGAAAATCCTTCATTAACGGGAGAGATGCAATCAACAGGAGCATTTCTTGAGGCCAATTAATGCCTCGGCTGATGTCGAAGTGGCTCGAGGTGCAAACAATGACGCGCATGCATTTATGGAATTGCAATACTCACCAGGTCACCACATTCCACATACTAACCTCATAACTGTTCGCAGATTTTCTTTCAAATGGACTTGTAGTGACACGCCACTTTCACCTTTTACCTACGACTTCTTTTCTACTCGCAACGAGATTTTGTTTTACCGGGTGCACCTTACCTGTTTACGCT